CGCCGCTCTCCGGCAGGGCCGGCGCTCCTTGCCGCCTCCGTCCTTGGGCGCCTGGCTTTCCCCCCCCTCCTGGAGCGCCTGCGTCCCCTTCGCGACCCCTCCCCGGAGCCCTGGGTCCCCCAGCGATGCCCGCCCTCCTCCCTCCGGCATCCCGTTGCCTCCCCCTCCCCCCCGCTCCCGGGGGTCTGGGTCCCCCAGTCCTCCTCTCTCCCCGCCCCGGGCAGCTGCTGTGGGGTCCCCACGCTGCCTGGCCCCGTTGGGGGGAGGGGGCTGTGCTCCAGCCAGGCCCCTGGCTCTGCTGGGCCTCCACTTCCCACCCCAGGCCCAGCAGGTTTTGTGGGGAGCCTGGTCTCACCTGGGCACAGCTCCTCTGCCCCAGGGGTGCCGGGATCTCCAGCAGGACTATGGCCCCATGGACTGGTTCCCCACGTCTAGGCTAGCTGCATCCCCACTAGTGGGGATGGTGCTGGTTTACAGCCCCGCCGCTGCAAGCGGGGAGGGTGCCTGCAGGCAGATAGACCCAGTGATGGCACCTCCATAATGCCTGCTGGTCCGGGGCCTATCACCGGCTCATGCCTCTTGGCTGCTTTTCTTTTCCAGAGCGTGGGAGTGGGCCCACTGCGCTGCAGCAGCCTCCCTAAGGGGTTGGCCTGGAGCAGAGGTCCTCACTGGCCCATGGGTTCAGGGGCTTCTGATCGCCCTGCTTACAGTCCTCCAGCAATGCCTGGCCTCCTGGATCACTCCCTGCAGGCTTGGGGGTGCTGGCAGGCGGGGAGGTTCCATGGGGCCTTTGCTTGTGGTACATGAGTGCCGATCATGGCTGCTGCTTGTGCCAGGCCCCATCTTTGCTGGGGAGAGGGTTTGCAGGCGTTCGCCTCCCTCACCTGCGCCCGTCCCATCCTGGCAGGGAGTCCCGATGGGCACGAGAGCGGAGGAGCACGCATCCTGACCCCCGCCCCACACGGCTACCCCCGTGCCAGCCCCTGTGACTATGGATGAGTGGAAACCCAACCCTGCCATCAAGCCCCACAAGAAGCGGAGCTGGTACCTTGCCTGGAAGTACAAGCTGATGAACCAGCGTGCGCTGCGGAAGCTGTGCCAGGTGAGTCACCCACAGGCCTGTGGTGGATTAGGAAGGATAATCTACAGGATTATGAGTTTATGGAGCAGCTGCATGGATGGAAGTGGGTCTGCTGGCAGTCTGGGTGACCTGACATGCTGGGGAAGCATAACTTGTCCCCCAAAAAGCTACCTCCAGTGTCTTTGTCCTCATGCGTGGAAGAGTCTGCCATGTCTAGCAGCTCCTTCCAGCTGCAAATAGACCTGTTGGGTGGCTATGGCAGGAGATACAATTATCCAGGTGTCCTTGGGAGGCTTTCAGCTAGAAACCTGACCAATTCCTCTCCTCCTGGTTCTGGACCCATGCCAAGTGCAGCAGGGCTCAGCAGTGGGAAACCATCCTTTCCCTGTTTGGTTTGCAAACCAAGCCTAGTATAAGGCACAACAGGTGGACGGAGAAAATAGGGCTGGGTAACAGGATCTCATCCCCCAGAGGCAGCTGGCGTCTGGGAAGGCTGCGGGCCTGGTCGCTTGTGCTGTAAAATGGCTAATCCTTGGCGGAGCTGGTGTCCTGGGGGGTGTCTGAGGGCATAAGGACAGGAAGGGTTTGGCCCCGTGGCAGTGAGCTGCAGAAAAGGGCTGTTCCCGAGACAAACAGAGCTCATGAAATCTGGCAGTTGGTTGCTGTGGGAGGGAGCAGGGGAGGCTTTTGTATGTGCCTGGGAGGATGAAGGCTTACAAGGGCTCCCTGGGGAAGGAGACTGCTTGGTCCTCCGTCCCTTAAGATGCTCGGGGCTTGGGAATGGGCCTGGTCATTCAGGCAGATGTTGATCATTGTGCTGGGGGCAATGGGCTAGAGCCTTACTGCTGTCGCCTCTGTGGCACTGCTGTGGCTTAAAACACAGATGAAAATTGGGCTTAAAATATGTAAACCGGAGCTGCAGGTGTGGAGTAGCCAGGTCTACAGCAGCTGGGCCCCTGTTAACAGCTCTGACTGAGCCAGCCTTTCTAGATCCGGCTGCTGGTCTTGCCTACTGTTGTCTTGTTCGCTTTGGTCACTGGGGCTGCTCCCCCATGTCTCCAGTACTGACCAGGGTGGAAGATCTGGGCAGGTTGGTAAGGTGGCCTTGCTGCTGGCCACCAGGCACAGGCTGCTCCTCACCATGTGCCCAAGCCTCTGTTCTTGCCTAATTAAAAGCTTTTTGTGCACAGATCCTGAAAGGTGCTCATAGTCCTGAGTCAACAGCAAATCAAGAAGCCAGAATGCCATAGTGACATTTATATCATCACATCTTATTGCTGGTTTTCCATCTTGAACCTGTTTGTCTGCTTGGCAGAGATAGCAGCAACACGTAGCTTTGAGGCAGTAGCTGGCCGGGTAGGGCAGGGATCCTTTTAGTGCCTCTCACCAAGGGCAGGCCTGCGTCTGATCTCAACCCCATACCCAGACCTCAGAGAATCAAGGGTCCTAGAGCTGAAAAAGGCACAGATTTTTAGGAAGCAAGCTGTTGAGGGGCAAGGGAAGAGTGTCAAAACCACCCAAGACCTGTCTCAATGTCCCCTTGCGGGCGGAACCAGGCTATGAGCAGCCTGCACCAACCTCTCCCCTCCTCTCCCTTAGTTGCTGTGACATCTCTATGCTGAGTCTTGGGATGCTCTGGGGAGGTTAGTAGGACCCTGAGCTTGCGTGGCTGAAACTGGAAACCATCTGGTACATCCAAAGCATGGCTGGGCCAAGGGGCCAGAACTTTTGGGCCATGGGATGAACCTGTCAGCAGCACACAGCAGTCAGATTTGGGCCTCTGTTGTGGCTCTACTGTGAGCTGGATGGACCCTCCTGGCATGGAGGCTGGTGGTGGAGCCCTGCAGCGGTGTTAGCTTTGGGGGTAATAGCTTCTCAGGGCTTTGTGTTTTAAATCCAATGGCAAAGCCTTCCCTTGCTGTGTGACTGTCCAGGGCAGGTTTTGGGCTCCCTGCTAGAGGTGTTCCTCAGCCCTGGGGTAGGGCTGTAGCTACTGGGCAGGGACTTTGTCCCCGTGCAGAGCCCCATGGCCACCATATGCTGCTGTCACCTTTCCACCGTGAAGAAGTACCTGGGCCCTGGGTTACAAAGTAAAGTAAAGACAAATTAGGTCAAGTAAAGACAAATTGCTTCAGCTGAGGTCTTGTCTTTCAGTCCTGCATCCCAAGCCAGCATTGCAGCTCTAAGACCATCCTCTTGGCCGTGGCCAGACTTGCAGCTGCTCTTGCAGCTTACACCTGCAGGTGGATTATTTCCCAACATGGAATATTTGTGGTCCAAGGCTTCATGTGTTGCTCTGTCTCACAAAAGGCCCTTTCAGCGTGGAATAGTTTCTGATTTATGCTGGGTCCAAATACCAGGAAAAAGACTGAAATTGAGGAAGAGAGGAGCAAGATGCTTTTAAGTAAATACAGGTGCTTGTAGAAATGTCTTTTCTCCCTCCTCTTGGTCTGGGAGCACCAAGGCCATGGGCAATGGTGATGCTCACATCAGGGGTTCCCATGGACTGCTCCATAGCCCCTGGACCTTCCCATAGCCCTCTGTGTCAGCATCCATGCAGGTTGCCTCGAAGTTTGCTGCAGACAGTAAGGCTGCGGGCTGTTCTCTGCAGCCTGTGGCACAGTGCAGTTTCCTGAAGTCAGACCTCAGCTTCTTCCCTTTGCCTTGCTTTAGTCATGCAGCATCTCCTCTCACTCTGAATACATCCTCTGTTTGCAGAGGGAGAGATGAGAGTAGTGGTGCTGCAGGTGAGGCAGAAGTTAAGGTTACCATGGGAGCTATATCTCTGAATTACCAAACTCTTTGCCTGGAGAGACCCTCAACCTTGATGCAATATTTTATCAGGAATCTTCCACAGATCTGGAAGCAGGTATACATTGGAAGTGGGTTAATTCTCATATATCAAGAAGTCGGTGTTCTCCAGCCGATGAAAGCATTTCACCCTGTCACCTGTATTTCTTTCTCTTTGCCTTTCCCCAGAAGAAAACAGGGGAAATGACAGATGCTTATGATCCCTTGCAAGATCTCCTTTGGGTGCCCTGCAGCCTCTGCCAAGGGGGTGGACTGATCTTGGGGTTGTTACTTACAAATTGCTAACGCAAAGCATCCTGCATTGCAGACAGGTGCTGTCCTCTTCCTGCTTGTGACTGTAATTGTGAACATCAAGCTGATCTTGGACACCAGGAGAGCTGCTTATGAGGAGGAAGAGGAGTCGGCACAGGACTATGGTGAGGGCAGCATCTTGCTTTTCTTTGAAAGCAAGGAAACCAGAGGGAGGAAAGTAATTTCTTTAAGTCAGGGCAAACTTTTGATCAGCTACAGCATGAAAGACAGGTCTGTGCATGTGGGTTTAACAAAAATGAATAGAAAAGCCTGTTCCCATTCCTGGTCTGTCTAGTCAAGGCTTCAGCATGTTTGGCTGCAGAGGCCTATGTGGAGACAGCTGGGGCCAAACCTGTTGCCATTTTGGATTTCCCTTACCGGCCATCCCTGTAGTTCTGACCCATGGCTTGTTGGGCTGGGATACCTGGTGGGCATGACCTTCTGGAGGCTTGGCTGAGCTAGTACTGAGCAGGAACAAGCCAAAGTTGCCTTGGCTGGTTGAGACTGGGCATTTCTTCCCTGTAGATGATGAGATGCTGAATGTGGAGGTCCCTAGGCACCCTGTCAGCAACAAGAAGGTCTTGGATGTTGAGGTGTACTCCAGCCGGTCGAAGGTCTACGTGGCTGTGGATGGGACGACGGTAAGTGACAGATGCTGGCAGTCCCTGTGAACAGAGGATGGGTGGAGCTGAATGGGCAAAGCCTCAAGCATCAGGTGGTGAGAGCACTTCAGTGGCTGGCAAGAAGGTCAGGAGTGGATCCCCCTCCTGCCTACAGGACTCTGGAGGTGTTGTCCCACATTGTCTTCTACTCTTGCATCCATCACTGCCACAAGCAGAGCCAAAATGTCACAGGAGAAAGACTAGCTCCTTGTTTGGGGGCTCTGCTGTGTTTTTGGGCAGGGAATGAGAGGTCTTGGCATATGGTTCTCATTGCTTCTCCACTTGCAGGTCCTGGAAGACGAGGCTCGGGAGCAGGGAAGAGGGATCCATGTCATCGTCTTAAATCAGGCTACGGTAAAGCATTCCCATGTGTCTGCATTTGTCTTTCTTACTGGGCAGTGTTTGTCCTTGCTCTTTAACTGTTGGGTGCATGAGACAAAGGGCAGCCAGGAGGGAAGTTCCCAAATGCTTGTTTGTCTGTAGTTTCCAGAGCACGACATGGTCACCCAGAGGGTCCCTGCAGTGTTTCTCTTGTGCTTGGCTAGCTGTCCTTGGGGAGCAGGCAGGAGAGGAGTTGTGAGGTTGTGTAATGCTGTCCCATGGACGTCAGTGCACTTCATGTCGTGCGTGAAGGTGCAAGGGCCGAGCTTGCCTGGGGACTAACTCCTTGGCATACCAGAAAAGTAACTCATTGTGTTGCTCGTGGACTGAGGCTCCCAGGACAGATTTCCATAATTCTGCATGTCCTGGCTGTATAGCACTTAAGATGCATCTGACGTTTGAATACCAACAGGGTCATGTGATGGCCAAGAGGGTCTTTGACACCTATTCTCCCCATGAAGATGAAGCCATGGTACTTTTCCTCAACATGGTTGCCCGGGGCCGGATCCTGATCTTCACCATTAAGGTATGTGACCTTAGTGTCAAAAGATCCTTGAGTCAGGATGCCCTAAAGCTCATCTGGGCAGTTGCCTCCTGAATGTCATCAGGCATTCCCAGGGCTAAATGTCACATTGCCACTGGGCTATGCCTCCCTGGCTGGATCACCTCCCTTGTCCTCTCGCTCCCCCTTGTTACTACAGTTACTGCTGTGTGCCCAGCAAGGCAGGAGAGCAAAAAGCAGATGTGTCAGAGCCTGCAGCAATAAACAAGAGGTTGGGTGGAGAACGGACATGAGGAGATACAAGGATGTGGTGGGACCCTTCTGGGTCCCATTTCCAGGCTTTAGGGGGGCACTGTGGACTGTGTTGGCTCTGGGCTGCTGTGCGAGCAGCACTGTGCTTCTTCAAGGTTTTGGATTTAGGTGTGTTGCTGAACACATGGCCCTGCTCAAGAACAACTTGGTCTCAAGGAAACAGGAGTCTGTGACTCCTCTGACTTCCCTGTGGGTCATGGTGAAGCCACTGGCAGGTTTAGTGGCACAGAGACTGTAGGAACCTGTTCTTGAAGGTGTCTGGCTCAGCTAGTTCAGGTAGGAGTGGGCCCTGTACCTCTTTGGTATTGACAGGAGACTTCCCTTGTCTACATCGGGAGCCAGACCTCAGCTGCAGGGTTGTGTTTTGTTCCAGGATGAAGGCTCCTTTCACCTCAAGGACACAGCCAAGAATGTCCTGAAAAGCCTGGGGAGCCAAGTTGCACCATTCCTGAGCTGGAGAGACATGTGGACATTTGTGGGGAAGAAAGGAGGTGAGTCTAGCACAGGCCAGGGGAGGGTTCATGGCCCCTTTTTGGAGGAGCAGCCAGGTGAAGACAAACTCAGCCCATCCTCAACACGCTGTATGAGCAGGGAACGAGTCACAGAGAGCAGGCAACTCCGTGGGGGCAAGGGAGGGGATAGAGGCAGAGCATGTCCCTTCAGCAGCTCACCAGAGGCCAATGGGGAAAAGGTGCCAAGATGCCACCCTGAGCTACAGCCCCTGGTCATGCCTTGACGCAGTGGGGATGGGTCCTTCCAGACAGTCCTGATCCTGTGTCCCTGCTCCAGGGGAAGTATATGGGGAGAAGCACGCGAAGTCGCCTGCCCTCTCGACATGGGGTGACCCTGTACTACTGAAGACAGAAGTTCATCTGACATCCGTGGAAGGTAGGAAGTAAGATCTGCTCTGTGGTGCCAGGTATCTCTGGGACATGTCTGCCCGCTGGTCTTGGTGGTTTTGAGTCAAAGCTGTGGGTCTGTTAGCAACATCCCAGGATGGATTTAAGGCTGTTTGAGATAGGGATGGTAACTTCTAAATGGGGCCAGCTTCCCTTCTTCCTGCTTCCATGGCAATTGCAGGCATGGTTGTTGAGAAGGGTGAGGATGGGGAAGTGGGGACGTGATCTGGCCAGTTGTCACCTCTCCAAACCAGGCCTGGTCCAGTCTTTTCTGACTGTTGGCTTGAAGATGGCTCATTGCTGCTCACAGAGGCCATATGGTAGAGACGGCTTCTGAATGGCTCCTGTGGTTATATCTGGCATCCAGAAGTGTTGCTTGTTCGTAGTAATAAGGACTGACTTGGTGATGGCTGAGCCCAGGGAGAGCTGTGCATGTGGCAGTGCAGCCTGGAGCATACAAGGTGAGGCCACGGGGATGAGCGGTCTGCTTTTTCTCCTTGGTGCCTCCAGATGCTGAGTGCCATTGGCCCGACACAGAGTTGAACCGCCGCCGGAAGAGGTTCTGCAGCAAAGTAGAAGGTTACGGCAGTGTCTGCAGCTGCAAAGATCCCACACCCATTGAGTTCAACCCTGATCCCGTGAGTGCAGGGGCAGAATATTCAGGGAAGGCTCCAGGAGGGAGGGCTGAGCTGGACCAGGTGTGTTTTCAGCTCAGATGCAGAGCCCTGTCTTTAAGCACCAGCTGGGTGGTGCAAACTGCCCCGGGCAAGCTCTTAGCCCCAGCAAAGGTAAGGTGAATACGTGTGGTCAGGTCATGCTGGGGAAGGGGAGTTCTCTTGCCCTGTGTCTGCCCTGAGCTGCCAGGTTACCATGGCTCCAGGGACATCAGTGTAAGCTGCAGGGCCTGTATGTTTGGAGACGGAGCAGCCTTTGGGCTGTCCTTGGCACAGTGCTGAAGGGTTTGGGCAAACGTCTCTGGGTGGATGCAATTTGGGATTGGGGAGCTGGGTCTGAGGCAGGGTGAAGGAGGGAAGCTGGCACGGTCTCCAGCAGTGCTGAATGGAGTCCTGGTTGGTCAGTGTGGTCCTGAGCTAAGGGGTAGGACTATGCAGCTCTGCTGTTTAACAGCGGGGCTGATCCCTACGCCTTGGATCCTGTTTTCATTGGCACAGAATCATAGAATCATTTAGGTTGGCATGGCCTCCCCCAGCCCCACTTACACACATTGTTCTCTTCCAGCTCAAAGACAATAAAGTCTTTGATGTGCCTGTAGCTGTTATTGCAGGGAACCGCCCCAACTACCTGTACAGGTAAGCACTTCCAGGGGACACGGCTTCTCTGCTGTGTGCCACAAGACCAGGTATGGTCCAGGCCCTCCCCTTCGTCCTGCTGGCAGGATCCAGCCTCTTCCTGGGATTGTATGAGCAATGTGGGCAGACCTGCTTGGACAGCTCCCGGGGTGTTTGACTGTGGGAAAGGGAAGAGCCCAGGGGTAGTAGGTCCTATTCCTTAATCATGTGCACTTTCCCCCATCCCAAGGGATCCATACCCCTCTACTGAATGGCTTGGGCCCACTGGGGCTGTGCTGCACTCAGGCCCCTCAATTTCTCCCCAGGATGCTGCGCTCCTTGCTGTCGGCTCAGGGTGTCAATCCACAGATGATCACAGTCTTCATCGATGGGTACTACGAGGTGAGAGCGCTCCCAGAGGTTCCTGTAGCCTGGTCCTTGGTCCCCCAGCTGAGAGTATATGGTGCTGGCACAGTCCTTGGTGGGTGGCAGACTATGAGCACCTTCACCCTCCCTCCTCCTGTGGGTCACAGCTCCTCACCCACTCCTACGCAAAGTCAGTCAGCTTAGCCAAGCCATGGATGTGGATAAAGCTGCCTTGGCCTTTACCGAAGCCTGGGGTTGATATTCCCATGTCAGAAAGGGGCTGGTGTGCTGGACTGAGGTGGTCATGCTGGGCTCTCCCCATCCCCTTTTCTCTCTTGATGAGTATCGCCCACCTTTTGAGCAGGGTCTGGGTGTAACACCGCCTGTCCAGCTCCCTCGCAAGAAGCAAAACAAACCAGTTGAGCTGTGCCTGTCCAGCTCCACTCAGTAAGAGGTAAAGAGACCCAAAATGGTCTGTTGTCACAAGGCTCATGAAAGCCTGAGGCCAGATAGAGGAGAACTGGTCCTTTAGATGGCAAAGACCTTCCCCTCAGCTCACCTTTACAAAGCCCTGGAGGATTCCACTACAAGCCCTGGCTCTCTGGCAAGAGGCTGTGCTCTGGAACAGGCATGTGGGATCTTAGTAGGTCTCAGGAGCTTCCTAGCCCTCATTTCTGCAGCAGCCCATGAGGTATTGTCTGGTTGCCTTGGGATGGAGACGGGGAAAGGAACAGGCTCATTTCCTTGCAGGCCTTTCCCACCACTGCCAGGTTGTGGGGCTGGGGGAGCTGGTTTGTTTACACAGACTTTTACCGCAGCACATAAGAATGGTTAAAGATAGCAGCATCTATTGCCATGGCAACTGGAGCAGCATCCCTCAGCTACGAGGGGGCAGCCTGGATGCTTGTGCTGCCATGGTTGATACCAGGGAAAGGGGGAATGGTTGGTGCAATGGGAGCTCCTTCTCTCTTTTGTGGCTAGGAGGTGGGATGGACAGTAAGGGGATGGAGAAGGCCTTGGTGGGGCCTTCTTGGGACAGAGAGATGTCAACCCAAATATGGATTACTTCTGACTCCAGTGCAGATGCGCTTGGTCAGAGAGGTCCCTTTCTTGGCAACTGTGAGAGAAAATGAAGTTGATCATGGTCTTGACAGCTAGTAGGTGTTCCTGGCTGTACCTGTTTTCTTTCTGCACCATCAATGGCTGACTGGGAATTTGACTCTCAGATATTCTTCGATACAACTTTGGGTCTGCAAACTAGCAGGGCTAACAGAAACTTATGGTGGTACTTAAGGGCTGAAGGGCCAAGAGGGTTTGGCAAGTTCCTTGTTGCAGGGTTTACAGCACAGCTTCATTTTGAGCCTCACTTGCCCCCAAGAGGACAACCACGTGCAGGGGATCCCACAGGCATATTCTTGTTGTCCCAGGGAGCTGACACTGGCAGAGGGTGGGGAGAATGTATTCAGACCCACACATTTGGTGAGCTTTGTACCTTTCCATTGCAGGAGCCGATGGATGTCGTGGAACTGTTTGGCCTCTCAGGAATCCAGCACACTCCTATCAGCATTAAAAATGCCAGAGTGTCCCAGGTGAGAGACCTTTCCCAAATCCTGGGAGAGTTATTTCCTGGGATAGCATTCGAGGGAGGCAGGCTTAGCCCCATATCTGTGGCAGGCTGATGCTAACACAGGCAACGATCTGTCTTTTCTTGTAGCACTACAAAGCCAGTCTGACTGCAACCTTCAACCTGTTCCCGGTGAGTGAGACCTCTGCCTGCACCCTGTCTAGCTGCTTGCCCATGGGAGCAAGACAGCACAGGGTTTCCCTGGGAGAGTGGCATCTGTGACCCCCATCTCACAGGAGCTGGAATCCTCTGGGGCAGGGAACAGCACAGGCAGGGAGGGGACACTGCTTGGTTCCTCTGCTCTGTCCTGTTCCTCTCCATCCTTCTGACATTTTCTTTGCCCTACAGGATGCTAAATTCGCTGTGGTTCTGGAGGAAGACCTTGACATTTCTGTTGATTTCTTCAGGTAAAGCTGTGGGTCCCTGTTTGGGTGGGGCATTTCCTTGAAGCTCTCTGGCTCCTCAGGAGAGAGGCCAGATCCCTGCCATGCTGTAGCTCACCTATCCGAGGCTGAGCAGTGCCCAGGCAACAGCCATAACTGAGCTCTGGTTGCAGAGAGTCTCGAGTCCACTGTCCTGGCACTCAGTGCAGGGTGACTTTGGGGTCTGGGATCTCTTCTTGGTTTGCTTTTCGGAGACACTGATCCATTCTGTACACACATGGTTGGGGCTGCCCCATAACAAGAGGACAGGGACAGTGTCTTAACAGGGCTCCTGTTTCTTCTTAAGGAGGAGAGACTGATGGAGCAGGAGGCAATGTTGTCACCTCCCCATGGTGAGATGCAGCTTAGCTTGTTTGGGTGTTCTCCCCTGATCTCGCACCAGTATCAGCTATCTCAGCCCAAGTGATGGGTTACACAGTTCCAGCTCTTGGGGTGGCTCCCTTGGTGGAGAATTTGCTTTGGTTTGCATGGGAGAAGGAAGTTTGACCAGGGACTGGGCAACTCTTTCCTCAGCTTTCTGAGCCAGTCAATACACCTTCTGGAGGAGGATGAGAGCCTGTACTGCATCTCAGCTTGGAACGACCAGGTGGGTCAGGGAAGGATCGTGGAGCAGGGACACCTCTGCCCTGTGTTCCCATGTCAGGCTGGGGTCCAAGTTCCATCTTTAAAGCAGGGTGTCCGCCCCACTATCATTCTAAGTGGGTCTGTCTCCCCAGCCCTCAACTGTTCAGAAGTGCCCCTGCAAATCACTGTCCTGTCCCTGCTGTGTGCTTCCCAGTGGCTGTCCCCTGCTCCCCAAGCTGAGAGCCTCAATTGAGCAAGACACCTCCTTTTTTTGGTGGGGTAGGGGTGCGTTCAGGGTGCTGAATGCTCCCCATAACATCGCAGGGCTATGAGCACACAGCTGAGGACCCCTCGCTCCTGTACCGTGTGGAGACCATGCCAGGCCTGGGCTGGGTGCTCCGGAAGAGTCTGTACAAGGACGAGCTGGAGCCAAAGTGGCCAACCCCTGAGAAGGTGAGTACCCTAGAGGGAGCCTGTATTTTGCACCCCCATCTCTGCCCATCAGCAGTCCCTGATCATCACCCACTCCCTGTGGGTACAGCTCTTGGAGGGCCCTTGGCTCTCCCCGAGCTTCTACTGGGAAGGATGCCCAAGCAGAATGTGTTTGGGACAGACAGTAACTTAAGGACCATGTAACCAGCCACAGAGCTGGCTGGAACAGCCCAGGCAGGCTGGGTCAAAGGAGCTAGAGCTGGTGTGGGCAGCCAGAAAGGTCCCCGGATGGCCACACTACCAAATCATGTCCCCAAATGTGAGTGTGAGTGGCATTTTCCCCTCGACAGCTCTGGGACTGGGACATGTGGATGCGGATGCCCGAGCAGCGGAAGGGCCGGGAGTGCATCATCCCTGACATCTCACGCTCCTACCACTTTGGCATCGTGGGGCTCAACATGAACGGCTACTTTCACGTGAGTGACCTCCGTGAGCCCCCAAGCCCTGTCCTGGTGCTGAGCTCTGACTCGGCCACCTTTCCAGGTAGCAGGAATGCTTGAGGTGACCTCCAAGTACTGCTGACTCCTGACTGAACCCCGTTTTCCTTCCCTCCCCCCTCCCCTCTCTCTTCCTCCCAGGAAGCCTATTTCAAGAAGCACAAGTTCAACACAGTTCCAAATGTCCAGCTTAAAAATGTAGAGAGGTGAGTGCTGCTCAGAATGAGATCCAGATGAAACAGTTGCTTGACCTGGCTCTTGTCCCCTTGTGCTGGGGACATCTCCCTTCTTTCTGGAACAACAGCCTTAACCTCCAGCCCCAGCACACTGGCCTCTGCTGGGGAATCCTTGCAGTGGTTTTTGTGAGGTTGGGTTTGGCTACCTGGTGCTCCTGGTGGAAAAGTTGAAGGGTCACGTTTTTGCTGCCACATCCTCCAGGATCCGTGGCAGTCCCTGCTCTCCATTCATTGGGTCCAACCTGCCTTTTAGTGTTGGGCAGTCTTAAGCTTGGATCATCTTGGGATGTTCCCTGCTTATCAAACTGTCTGACTCTGCCCTAATTTCCGTGTTCTCTCTTCCTCCAACAGCTTGAGGAAGGATGCCTATGAGACTGAAATTCATCGACTCCTGGGGTAAGTGCCTGCAGAAAGGTTGGGAGACCACGGGGCACACTGGGTGTACCAACCAGGACAGAAGAAAGGGTGGAGGTGGCCCTGGCAGCTGCAGCCACCACTTGCCTGTCTGAAGTACTCTGCCGTGGGAATAGGAAGGATATGGGGTCTCCTCTCACTCCCTGTTCTGTTTCCACAGTGAGGCTGAGGTCTTGGACCACAGCAAGAACCCCTGTGAGGACTCCTTTGTGCCCGACACCGAGGGCAGGGTCTACGTCATGTTCATCAGGATGGAGCAGGAAGCAGATTTTGCCACCTGGACTCAGCTTGCCAAGGTGAGGCCCCTGACACGGCCTGTCCTCACCCCTGCACTGATCTCTGCGTCACTGGGAAACATCTGGCTGTTGGTTTTGGGTTTGGCCATGGCATAGATGCAGCTCAGCAAATGAATTCTTGCTGTCCTTGGGTGATGTTAAAGCTCTTGGTGTTTACAGAAGGCACTGGGTCATCCAGGGCAGATGCTTGGCTCAGTGGAGAAGATAAGTCTTATGACCTCCCTGGGTGGGAGCCCAGGGCCTGAGCTTGTCTGGTAGTTTCCATTGCTCACCTGGAGGTGATGATCAAACCCCCTGTCCTGAGGCAGGAATGGGAGCAGGTTGCCCCTCTCCTCTCACTGATGGTGACTGGAGGGGTACTTCCCTGTGCCCCCCCAGTCAAGGGGTGCAGCCCTCTCTGTTGTGTCTTGGTGAAGGCAGGGGTGGTGGCTCTTCCCTTGCCAGGGGGAACCTGGTCCTGGTGTCTGTCCCCAGGCTCTGATGCCTCTTCCTCCCTCCCCACCATCCTAGTGCCTCCACATCTGGGACCTGGATGTCCGTGGGAACCACAAGGGGCTGTGGCGGCTCTTCCGCAAGAAGAACCACTTCCTTGTGGTGGGCGTCCCTGCCTCCCCCTACTCGTGAGTATCAGGGCACAGCAAACTAGGTAATCCCCCCATCCTCATGGCACTGTCCCCTGCCTGGCACACTGCATCATCCATTTCTGTCCCAGCCCCATCCCACCCCTCCTGCCCTTCTTAATCAGTGTGGTGGGAGGGGGACAGGATACATGCCCGGGGCTGGAGGATGCCCCAGTGGGAAGGAGGTCATGCCAGGAAAGCCAGGCCGTGCAGTGGGAGTTGAGGTCCTGAGGAGGATCACCACTCCTGCCCGCTCCCATCCAGCCTCCTCACCTGCAGGTCCAAGAAGCCCTCGTCGGTGACACCAATCTACATGGAGCCCCCTGCCAAGGAGGAGGGGGCAGTGGCAGTGCCAGCAGTTGCTGCAGCAGAGCAGACGTGAGACTGGCAGCTGGGAAGCGAAGGGGACCGGGGGAAGACGGAGAACCCCATGGTGCAGAGACAGAGTTGGCAGCAGCTCTCGGAGGCTGGTGACTGGACACGAACTTCCATTTCAGGCTGCAAAATGAGATCTCGGGCTCCCTCCAGCCCCCTATTGTGGTCTCCCTTGCACGGACAGGGTCCTTCCCTGTAGATATGCCGCCCCTCCATCCCAGGAACTTTTTTTTTTTTTTTTAACACAGACTCTTTACTAATGCTGCTCCTTTTGCCCCCTGGCTGGGCAAGGCTGGAGGAAGGAGGTGCTCAACTAGGGGCTAGAGGAGGCCTCGAGAAACACCTTTGCTTCCCTTTTTGGCCCCCAAGTCCTGAGAAGACAGCATGCTTGTGTGCAAGTGCTGCAACCTACCAGCTGGGTGTTATTTATTAACTCTTGCCTGGCTGGCTCTGGTGCCCAGTGGTGAACGTGGTGGTGAAGAGGGGATCTTCCAGCATCTCTTCTATCTCCTGCACGATGGATGCACCTTGAAGACCGTATGCTGGATTGGACATCTCCCCACACACTGGTTTCGGTGCTTGGGCTGCGGTGACTGGTGCAGCCCAGCTCACAGGCAAAAGGGAATCCTGAAGAGGAGCTGAACTTGCTGTCGACACGTAGGGGACACCCTATACCCAGCACGAGGGCGGTCAGGTGCCCCTTTCCTTTCTCCAGTTGTGGGAGCTGGAGATGACTCTAGATGGAAGCGGACCAGGCTGTGTGCTGTGGCTCAGACTGTCCTCACCCACCTTCTCTGTGGGGAGAAGCCCTGCCCCGCCGAGTTGTGGGAGAGGGGGTGAAAGTGCCTTGCAGAGTGAGATGGGAGCAGCCAGCCGGCATACCCCTGGCTGCAGGGGCAGGATGGACCGGGGTCCTCTGGAGTGAGGGATGCTGCACTCTGGCGTGGTCCTTGCCTGTGGTACTTGTAGCCTGTCTCTCCCTCTTCCCTGGCCAGATACCCCCAGCTTTTGCTGAAGGCAGAGGGGGTTTCTTCTCCTGAATCTCCACCCTTACTGTGGTACGTTGCTAGCAGGGAAGCTGTGAGCTGAGCCAGGATGGGTAGCCTGGCTCTCCTGCTGTGGTACACTCCTCATGCAGAGGGAGAGGGAGGGGGTCCCTGTCCCCTCTCCTGTGCCTTAGGAAGGACCCCAGGGCCCCCTCCTACCCCCAGCCACTTGGTACTAATGTGTCTCCCCCCACCCCCCACTGGGGGCAGTCCTGGTCCCCTTGCTTAGTACACCTCCCTGTCTCATCCATGCAGCAAGAGATCTATTCTCTGTCCAGGTCCCCCAGCCTCAGGCAGGGATCCTATGCTCTGGCTTGCCCTTGGGAGGAGGATTTGCTGCTCAGCCCTTTCCCTGTGGCCACAGGGGCTCTTCCCCTTCATTTTCTCACTGTGAACTGAGCGTCGGGGTCTACACTACACTAACTTATTTATTTATTGCTTGTGGGAAGGGGAGGATAGCAGGAAAGCAGTGTGGAGAGCTAGCAGCCCCCAGCCTGTGCAGGGGCAGTCGTGGGAGATTTGTCTTGTCTCTCTGGCTCCATCCTCTTCCCCTCCTTCCTCCCTTGCCCAGCATAGGAATGAATAGTTGTGAACCTGGGAAATCTACTCCTCTTTGGCCGAAACGAGCCCTGTGTGGACACAGCGCAGCTCTAGTGTGACCACAGGGATTCTGACCCTCGCAGTCCCTTGCACACCCATCCCAGCAGCTGGGATGGGACAGATGCAGGAGGGGAACAAGAGGGTGCAGGGCAGAACCCTTGAGACTGCGGTACCGGGCCTGGGTTCAACCCTGCCCTCCTCTGCCACCCCCAGCGCTGCCCTTAGCTGGGACTCCGCTCTGGCAGCTAGTGGGCAGGCAGCCTCTCTGTGCTGACCCTCAGGATAAAGCAGGTCCTTTAAGGGTGTTGGGAAAGGGACTTGCCTTCTTCCCAGGGAAAACAGCTTACTTCTCATACCCTGCTTTGGAAAAACTTCCACAGCTCTCTGCCATGATGCCCTTTCCTTGGCATCTCTGTTCCCAAGGCCCAGTTTCCCTTTTTCCTGAAACTAAATGCGCCCCCTTTCCCTTCTTCTCTGACAGGGCTCAGGCTTGGCTTCCTCCTAGCTCCTCCTGGAGCTAAGGAAGGTGGTCCTACTGATAGGGAATGGCTAAATGTGAGTTCCTCTCTCCTCTGCTGCCCACCCTGCAGCTCCCTGCTGTCAGCGACAGCAGGACTTGACTGGTGGGCTTCAAGCTCCCCCTTCTCCACACACCATGATGGGCTCGCTGGGTGCTATTCTCCGTCCCTCCCCGTTCCTCCAGTAAGGCTCCGCTGTGGTGGCTGTGGTAGGGCTGGGTGTGTGGACATCCCCAGGGCTTGCCGCTTTCTGAATTGAATTATTTTTTCAAGAGTAAACATTGCAAAGCTGTTGAGCCTCGTGTGTTTCATAGCTGGCATCGTGTGGCCCAGGGCTGGGGTCCCTGGCTCTGGCCACCTGCCTGGAAAAGACAGACTCCTGTCTGGTGTCTCACTCTGCTTTGTGTGCTGCAGGGCTAGCCGTGGGCTAACAGTGGCCCTGGGCCCCTGCCCTGTGGCTCCTGTGCCAGCAGAGGTCCTCCAAGCCATGCTGGGCTGTGCGGTGCCAGAGCAGCTGGCACAGGTTTGTGAGCTGTTTCCTCTTCGAGCTTTATCACTTTTATCTGCAGTTCAGCAACCGACGGAAACTCTGAGCAGCTGCCTGAGACCTCTTGCTTGGCGTAACCAGCCCTCATGCTCCCCCTGGCACCTCCAGCTGCAGTCCCATGAGAAACACAGACTTGTGGCCCTCGGTTCCTGGCTTGGTGTCCCCTTGGGGGTCAGCAGGGTGAAGCGGCTGCTCGTCCTGGAGTGGGGGCAGCAAGCAGCCAGCCCCAGCACTTGCACCCCACTGTCCAGCAGTCTGAGCCCCATGGGGCTGGGCTGCATTTCTAGCCTCTCTGGTGGATTTGGGTTTCTTTCCTTTGAAGGAAATGGGGTCTTGGAATAAGGACCCCCTGCCCAAGGTCACAGCAGAAGGAAGGGATGTCATAGCTGGAGGGGACTGGGCCCCTGCCATCAACCAGCTGCGGCTGGAGCTGAGACCTGACAGTTCAGGTCATGCCACACCAGGGCCAGCCCCCTGCACTGCTCCTGAGCTGTTCAGCCCCTGCCTGGTTGTGGCTGGGGATGGCAAAGCAAAAGCAGGGGCTGCGGGAGGGACCTCCAGCAAAACCACCTCTGCACCGCAGCAGCCTTTGCTCTTCCCCATGGAGGTGGGTGCAGGCAGGGGTGAACCGAAGCCAAGTGAGGAGCAGGCTTGGTCTTGTTGTGAGAAAAAATAGCCACAGAGCCTCTGGGTCAGGCTTGTGTGGGTGACTTTTGCAGGAAGCCCAAGAGACCTCTCCAAATTTCTGTCCCCATGGGGCAGGGAGCCCTGGGAGGGCTGGGGGTGCACCTGTTTCTGGGGCAGGGACCACAGAACCCAAACAAAACCGCTATGGGAGAGCGTTGGCCACTGGCACAGACTGGCTGCAACCTGCATCCCGTACTGGCTGCCTCCTACTCCCCTGCCTGATCTTGCAGCCAGGTGGGCTTCTTCCTAGGCAGCTGCCACCCCCTCCCTGGGACGAAGCAGAGCTTTCAGGAGGGACACCCCCTTGCCAGAGACTTTTTGCTCAGGCCCAGGGGCTTTGCTTGGTGGTGCCAGAGCAGGCTCTCACCTGGCAGCCTCCCCGTCTGCATCTGCCTCCTGCTGAGGCCAAACCCTGCGGTGCTGAGCCCCTGCCAAGGCGCTGCGGACGAGGGTTGGATCCGGCTGCTGGGACTGAACCCCATGGGCAGAGCCTGCAGGGTGATGTGGGCTCAGGTTTGAGACCCGCCACATCGTGCCCACGTCGAAAAGCCAGTGTTTGTGAACTGCTGCGTTTGTAGGAGCATCCCCTCTTAAAGGGATGACGCTAAAAGCAGGTTAACCGACCCCCTTGAAGGGGAGCACCTGGGCCAGGCTGATGGAAAGCTTCGGCTCATCGCCCCCGGGTGATGGCGATGCCAAGGTTCGTGCCTGAAGGGGCTCAGTCCTGGGAGGCTTGTTAGAGGAGCCACGTTGCTCCCCATCCTGCCCTTTTCTCGGGGTCCCACTCGCCTTCTGGATCAGCCCGCAGGTGCTGGAGCATCCCGGGGTGTCTGGGAGCTGGCCGGGCAACCAGCCCATCGCCTGCCCTCCCTGGGAAGCCCAACCCGCTGGCTCCCATGGCTCAGCATCATGTGGCACCAGCTTTAGCGTGTGCTGCCCGAGTTGCCAGTTCCCAGGTCTCGCCCAGCCCTGTGCGGCCCCCCCGCAGCCCGGCCTGCCTGGCTTTGTGCAGCCGTACAAAGGAGAACCTGTCCGGGCTGCTCCACGTCCCAGGAGCTGGCTGATAATTAAACAAAAGCAAAATAGCCTTGGCATGAAACTTGACCTTTCCGGAGCTAGATGGGGGAAGGGGAATTTTGCATAATTTCTGGTGGTGGTTATCTTTATGTGTTATGCTTTTTTGGCGGGGATCTCTCTGCCAGGGGACCGGAGGATCCCCATGCTCCGATGGTGGGCTGGGATATGGGAGACAACCTCCAGGCTGACCCTTCCCCGTAGCACATCGGTCCTTCTGTGCCCCACAGATGGAGGGAAGCAGTCTCCAGCTGGCATCCTTCAGGATAACAGACATGGTCCTCTGGGATGGAGGGATGCCAGTGCCTAGGATGTGCTGGGCCTGTCCCCATCCCTGCCTGGGAGGGAGGCGGTGACGCTGCACCCAAGCCACCTGCATCCCAGCTGAGGGAGCTGATTCCCAATTTTCAGCACCCTCTGCTTTATAAAGAGCCCAAACCGCTCCCAGGAAGGGGCTCTGCTTGACTTCTCCCCATGGTCCCAGCTGCAGGGGGTCCCTCCCCTGCGCCCAGCCCGTTCCCATCCCCATCCCCTGCTGCGCCTCCCAGCGTGGGGCTGCCACCTCCTGTGCCTGCACCCAACAAAGCCCGGCGGCAAATTAATCTTCAACTTCGTACCTAGGATTGTTGCTGTGATGGTTATTACGCTGTGTCCTGCCTGGCACTGCATTAATGATTAACAACCGAGGTTCAGTGTCGGCTCCTGCCTGCTGCTTTTTGAATAGCTCTTCCATCGCCTCCTCTGATACCCCGACAAA